ACATCTTTTAGTGTGCTTTGGGATTTTTTTTATGGTACACTATTAGGGATTAAACCCAGGGCAGTTAGCTACATCCCCAGCTGCCCTTCACTTTTTTTGAGAGAGGTTCTCCCTAAATTACTAAGTTGTCTAGGCTGGGCTCAAACTTGTGATCTTCCTGCCTCAGCCTCCCAGGGACTTATAGATATGTGTCACCACATGTCTAGCATATCTTCCTCCGGAGAAATGTCTACTCAAGTCCTTTTTCCTTTCTTAAAAACTAGGCCATCTTTTTTTTTTTTTTTTTTTTTTTTTTTATTTAAGAGGAAAAAGAGAAAAACACAAAACAAACCAAAGCGGCGTAAGGGTACACGCAATACAGAACTACAAAACAAAACAAAACAAAACAAAACAAAACAAAAAACCATAACAGTAAGAAATTACCTGCTAGTAGATTACACACTATTTTCTTGAAAATAGTTCCTCAAATCACAGTATCAAAGAACACAAGGTGGACATTCAAACAGGGAGACTGCAAACAGCTGTGTTCAATGTTCCAAAAACATTGATAAAGTCAGCTATTTAACACCCCCAAACACACTTGCTGTTATACCCGTTAGAGCTCTTTTTCTTTTTTTTTTTCCCTCTCTTTTTTACAACAAAATTTACACATCTTGGATTTTATTACTCCTTAGTGCTTATTACTTTCTTTGTGGGGGGGGGAAGAATACAGTCAAATATGGCAAAACAAAGCTGTCAGTCAATACCAAGGATAGACATCTTTTTATTATTGAGTTACAAGATCTGTTTGTCTGTTTTGGATACAAGCCCCTTATCAGATATATGATTTACAAATATTTTCCCATTTGGTGGTGGTTTTTTTTCATTTTCTCAGTGATATTTTTTGAAGCACAAAAGTTTTAATTTTAATGGATTTTAAGTTATTCTGCTTTTTTTCTTTTGTTGCCTCTACTTATCGTATCATATCTAAGAATCTGCTGCCAAATATAAAATCGTGAAGATTTACCTCTGTGCTTTCTAAGAGTTTTATACTTCTTTCCTTTAGGGCTTTAATTCATTTTGAGTTAAATTTTGTATATGGTGGGAGGTAAAAATCCAACTTCTTTCTTTTGCACATAGCTCTTCAGTTGTCCCAGCCCCATTTGTTTTTCAACAAATAATGATATACTCACTGGTTTATTTCTGGATTACCAATTCTACTCCATTGATCTGTAGGTCTAAGTTTATACTATTATCATACTCTCTTGAGTACTATTACATTGTGGTAAGTTTTGAAATTAGAAAGTGTGAGTTCCTCAAGGATTTTGTTGGTTTGTTTTTCAAGGTTGTTTTGACTAATTTGTCCATTGCAATTCCATATGCGTTTCATTATCGGTTTGTCAATTTCTGAAAAAAAATCAGTTAGGATTCTGATAGAGATTACATTGAATCAGTGAGCTAATTAGGCTAATTAGGGAAATTTGTTCTTTTTTTTTTGAGTCTGACCATGTTTCCCAGGATGGCCATGAACTCCTTGGGTCAAGTGGTTCTCCTAACGTCACTTCCTTCCAGTAGCATCACAGGCACATGCTACCAGGTACTGCTGATGCCATTTTAAAATTAAGTCTTCTGTTCTCCAGTGCAGAATGTTTCTCCATTTTAAAAAAATCTTTTGGGGCCAAGGATATAGCTCAGTGCCATAGTACCTGTCTGGCAAACGTGAGGTCCTGAACTCAATTTCTAGTACAAAGAAAAAAAAAACTTTCTTAGCCGGGTGTGGTGGTACATACTTGTAACCCCAGTACTCAGGAACCTGAGGCAGGAAGATCACTGAAAGATCAAGGCCAGGGTGAACTATGTAACAAGACTCTGCTTCAAAAAAAAAAAAAAGAATTTTACCAAAACAGATCTTTAATTTCTTTTAAAATTTTGTGGTACTGAGGATCGAACACACAACTTTGTGCATGCTAGGGTCTTTTAACATTTTGTAGTTTTCATAGTATAGGTGTTGTTTGCACTTCTGTTATTTATTCCTAAGTATTTTAGTATTTGTGCCATTATAAATGTAATTGTCACCAGGCGTGGTGGCCCATGCCTGTTGTCTTAGCACTCTAGAGGCTGAGGCAGAAGGATTGCCACAAGCTTGAGACCAGCCTGGGCTATGTAGTTCAAGGCTAGCCTAAACTACATAATAAGACCCTTCAGGATATTCTATATACAAGATCCTGTCATCTGCAAATAGATAATTTTACTTCTAAAATAGTAAATGTAATTGTTTCTTTATTTTCATGGTGTTTACTTCTAGTGTATAGACATATAAAGACTTTTGTAACCTTTATCCCTGCTGGACTTATTTATTAGTTGTTTATTTTGAGACAGTGTAGTTTAGGCTGTGTAGTTCAGGCTGGCTTTGAGTTCACTATGTAGCCCAGGCTGATCTCGAATTCATGGTGATCCTCCTGCCTCAGCCTCCCAAGTGCTGGGATCACAGGCATGCACAACCATGCCTGACATATTTATTAGTTTTTTGTTTCTTTGTTTTTTGTTATTGGGCCTCCAGGGACTTCACACTGAGTGCATATCCAGCCTGTTTTTTATTTTTTTATTTCAAGACAGGGTCTCACTAAATCCCTACATTGCTCAGGCTGAGTTTCAATTTGAATCCTCCTGCCCCAGCCTCGAAAATTTCTGGGATTTACAGGCAGCTACCACAGCCAGCTTTATTTATTAGTTCTTTTTTTTTTTTTTTTTTTTTGTCTTTTTCCTTTTTATCGGTACCAGGGATCGAACTCACGACTGCCTGCTTACAAGGCAGGTGCTTATGCCGCTGAGCTAAATCCCCAGCCCTATTTATTAGTTCTAATAGTTTAGTTGTTTTGGTGTATTCTTCAGGATATTCTATATACAAGATCCTGTCATCTGAAAATAGATAGTTTTACTTCTTTTAAAGTCTGATTTTTTTTGAGACAGGGTCTCACTATGTGGTTTAGGCTGGTCTTGAACTCATATGCAGCCCAAATTGGCCTCAAATTCATGACAATCATCTTACTTCAGCCTCCAGAGTCCTAAGATTATAGGTGTGCAACACACCCGGTTTTCCTTTACATTTTGGGTAACTCTTATTTTTTTTTTCTTGTCAGTTGCCCTGGCTAGAATCTCTACTAGAATCTTGAATAGAAATGTCATCTTTAAAGATAGAGTTTTGCATACCAGGGACCTTTACTTTGTGATTTTGGGGTTTGAACCCAGGGTCTCATACAAGCTAGGTGAGTGCTGTAACACGGAGTTACACCACCAGCCCTTTTAATTTTATTTTTAGACAGGTCTTGCTAAATTACCCAGGCTGGCCTTGAATTTTTGATCTTCCTGCCTCAGCCTCCATAGTAGCTGGTATTACATGTGTGCTGTATTACACTCAGTTTAGGCTGGCTGGCTGGCCTGCCTGTCTGCTTTCCTTTCTTCCTATCCTTCCTCCTTCCTTCCTTCCTGTGGTGGGAATTGAACCCAAGGTTTTGCACATATTACCACTGAGCCACAACTCAGCCCATTTTTTAAATTGGTATTTTCTGCATATCAAGTTACACAGTGATTTTTTTGAGACAGAATTTCACTTTGTAGTGCAACTCACTATGTAGCCCAAGCTTGCCTGAAACTCACAGCAATCCTCTTGTCTCAGCCTCCAGTGAGCTGGGATTTACAGATGTGTGCCATATTGCCAGTTTAATAAAATAGAATTAAGCATTCAGTTCCTCAATCACATTAGTCATATTTCAAATCCTAAATGGCCACATGCATGCGGCTGGTAGCTACTGAATTGAGCAGAGCAGATACAGAACCTTACCATAACTCTATGAAATTTTATTAGGCAGCACAAGTCTAATTGCGTCCTCACATAAGGTGGTGCCAGTTGGGATACTCTGCAACCCTGAATGTGAATTAGTTAACTGATGAGAATTAAGTACAATATCCCTCAGTTGAGCTTTGTAATTCTTTTTTTTTTTTCTTTTTGAGACAGGGTCTCACTATGCAGTTTAGGCTGGCCTTGAATTCACTTTGTACCCCAGCTGGTCTCAAACTCACAACAATCCTACTGCCTCAGTCTCCCTAGTGCTGGGATTACAATGTGTGCCACTATGCTCGACCAGCTGAGCCTTGTAATTCTTGATTAACCACAGAGATGAGTTAGGCTATCAAAACAGTGAAGACAGGCCTCCTGTGGTATATAGAACTGTTCTGATCTGGAGGTCCATAATACATTCATCGCAGTGATGACACCTGTTGAATTTCTGGAAGGCATAAGAACAATAATGACATTTGGACTACTAGATTCCCAGGTTGTCATGGAAATGAGAGCGATAGTTACAATTCTGTATAATTACAGAGGTTAGGGTGTCAAGCCCCTTTCCATTTCTGCCTCTTTCTAAAACCGTGACCATTTCAGTGGTGCTTGCCAAGTAGTCAGGGGCGGAGGCAGCTGGAGAAGCAACTAAAAACGTGATTAAGTATAACTTGTCAGGGCGCAAACCCTAATGAGGAAGTGTGAAAAAAAGAAACATGGCGGGGCATTTTTTCAGTAGGAAAAGGCTAGATATACCATGTTGAATACAATGACATTGTTAAGCTTGCTTGCACAGGCGCAGTGCAAAAATTCTCACACACAAAAAATTCTCACAACACGCCTATGCACGCATTTTCTCCTCTTTTTCTCTTTCACTTTCCTCTCTTTTTCTCCTCTCCTTTGCCCCTCCTACCACTTGGTCGTTAAGTCTTTCCGTCAGTCCGTTTATGTCTTTCCTTCCCAAGCCCTCACCCCTTGTCCTCCTCTCCTTCCGTCCTCCGCGTACCGCCGCTTGTGCATGCGCATTAGGTATAAAGCCTCGCTCTTTGTCCCCATCTGTCGTTCACACGAACTCAAATCTTTGGCATTCGGTAGCCAATAAAATCTAAGAAATGGCGGAAAACGAGCCTGCCACCTTGATTGGCAGTTCACAGAACCAATCAAAAACGCCACTTCGTACCCCTTGGGAGGCACCGAGCTCCGTCGTCTCGTTTCCGGCCGTCGCGCGCTCTTTTCTCAGGACGGTGGAGCCTGTGTAGCGTCGCCGTTACTCTGAGGAGAAGATTGTCGGTATTAGGTGAGTTTTGGGGCGGCTTGGTTCTTGTTTGGGAGGGGAGTGAGATTTCACGTATGATGCATGAAGGGAGACGGGAGGGCGAGGCTGCGTTTGGAGGGAGGATGGCGATTCCAAGGCCCCTTGAGGCCTTGTCCCCGCCGCCACACGGCCTCCTCAGCCCACCCGCGGGGGCCTTATGCGCTCCAGTAGCCTCATCTCGGGCTTAACCCATTGCGTGTATTCATTCCTTCCCCGATTCTTTGTGCAGCTATCTGCGAATCTTAGCTCTATCAGTAGTAATTTCTCCGCGCCAGAGCTTCACTGGGCCGGAGGGTGTGGGGTCTATTATGCTAGGGCCCTGAAGTCGAGGTTGGAAGAGGAGGCGCTTTGTCGGACGCTCCTCCTCTCGGCCCCGCGAGGCCATTAATTCCGAATGGGCGAGTGGGGCTTCTCCGGCGATGTTTCTTTGTCAGAACTCTTAAGCTGGAAAGTTACTCCATTGTTCCAGACCCCGCAGCTTTCATGGTCAGATTTTTGTATTCTTATTTTTTGGTCTTGCTTCCTACCTTTTTGAGCCATTTGTGGCATTACTTTTTGAAGTGAAAGTTACAGCTTTCCAGTCGAGTATTTTCCACTGTGAGAACATCTTTATTTTACGCTGATAATTTTCTTTGTGTTTTTAACAGCAAAGTTAGGACTGGGAGGCACTTTTTGCTGTCTTCAATCAAGTTGAGGTAGGTATAGGTGGGGAGTAGAGGTTGCCAGATAAAGTACAGGGTGCTCAGTTGAGTATTTCATATAGATGACAAATTATTTTTTAGCACATGTTGCATGGTACTTAGATTAAACCTTTTTTTTAGTCTGAAAGTTTAACTGAGGCCCCCTCCTTTTTGTTTTGCTAAATCTGGCAACTGTATCAGTATGTTGGCCCAACTTCCCTAGAGGTCCTAAGAAACTTAGGAAAAAACCTTACCTCTTATATGTGTTTTACAGCTTTCAGGCTAGCTATCTGGGCTGCCATGTCAGCCTGGTAAATTTACATTATTAAATTTCTATTTAATAATTTGACTCCTTTCTTGGAAATTGAGGGAATACTTTGGATTGCAGACAGATAAGTGGAAATCCTTGTTGCTTATCTTTGTGCTTTGTTCTTTTTTCAGTGGCCCATTAATTAGAGGGCAGTGAATTTATTACTCAGAACAGATTTCTGCACATATTTCCAAATTATATTAGTGATCATCAAAAAAGTAGGTGATCGGAAGTAATACTTGAGTACTTGCTACTTTATGGGCACTGCTTACAATAGTACTTTGTACAGTAACTGCAGTCCATTAAGCCTGCTTTGGGGAGGAATATATAGAAAGGGAAGATTGTAAAGACTAGCATTGGGAACAGTCCAGAACACAAAAGAGCAGGGATGGTGGTTCCCTCCCCCATCTCAGCGCTCAGGAGGTAAAGGCAGGAGGATTGCCCTGAGTTTGAATCCTCCCTGGGACCCTGTCAAAAAACAAAAAAAAAACACAAATCAGGCAATTTTGTTATTAAAACGTTATCTCTTTTTTCTTGGTACCAGGGATCAAACTCAGGACCTTGAGCTTGCCAGGGAGGTGCTTATGCTGCTGAGCTAAATCCCCAGCCCAAACATTATCTTTGTTACAATCTGTCACAGTGGGAGACATGTCAGTGTGTAGTAGTTGATGGCAGCCATTTAATTGGAACACCCTCTGTATGTAGAAATAGGTATTGGTAATTGCTTTCACAGGTGTTAACTCTGCTGAGTACTCGGTTTAGTCTTCAAAATAACTCGTTCTGTATGGTTATGGAACAGATAAATAAACAGGCTTAAAATTTAAGTGGCATGGTCAGTAAGTGTGTTGGAGTTTAAACTGAAATCAAGCTGTACAAGCTGTACGTGTAGCACATTGAGTATGAGTTTTAGAGTTCAGCAGACCTAGGTTTCACTCCATCATACTTGGTGTATATCTCTCCTTCATGAACTTGATTCTTTCCACAATTCTTGTCATAAACCAAGTTGGTCATAGACTAAATCAAGTTGAATGGTTAGGTTCAATATTGACCTTATGGGGAAATATGTTTCAGTTTGTGACCAGAATCATGGAAAAAATTGCATTTTGTGAACCAAGTATCACCACATATCTCTAAGGCATTGGGTTCCTTAACTAGAGTAATAAATAGCGTAGCACTAAATGAGGCAATGCAGGCTTAGCATAGTGCCTGGCTTTTAGCGGTCAATAAATACTGTACCTGGTATGGTATTTATCTTCTAGGCTATGGTCTTTTCCTTTTTTATTTTGAACTGGGTCTTGCTGTGTAGTTTAGGCTGGGCTTCCTGTTGAAGATTCTCCTGCCTCAGCCTCTCAAGTGCTGGTGTGACATCACACTTGACTCAGGCCAAACTGTGAAACCAAAAAATTTTTTTTTCTTTTGGTACTCAGAATTGAACTCACCTCATGCTTGCCAGGCAGGTGCTGTGCTGCTGAGCTGTATCTCTGGCCCATTGAAATATTAAATGGTTTGGAAACATCTTAACATTTGGCGCTTAACAGTTTGTCCTTTAGGAGGTAGAGGTGGATCATTTCTACTTGAAGTTCTAATAAACTGTAAATATACTGCTTTGAATATTTTTAACTTTTTCATGGGTCCCTATATAAAGGTTTCTATTAACATAAATATATATTGTGGCTCTTGAATGTGATGTTAGCTACTCAGTCTGGGGCCACTGACTCCTAAATAAAAGGCTGGAAGAAAACAAAAGGTTCTTTGAAGTCTAACCTGAGGTAAGGTAAGAAGAACTAATGGGAGAAATGTTTATGAAGATAACCCAGATTTCTGCCATTGGCCACTTTGGGATTAGGGGAAGGGAGCTATTTATTTGGGTCTTTTTGAAACAGGGTCTCACTATGCTGTTCAGGCTTGCCTTCCACTCACTTTGTAGCCCAGGCTGACCTCGAATTCACAGTGATTTTTTTGCCTCAGCCTCTCTAGTGCTGGCATTACAGGCATGTACCACCATGTCCTGCTGAATGTAGGTTTTTAAATCAAAAGGAGATTTGATTGTGATACCCGCCTTACCTCATCTCCAGTTATTTCTAGGAATTAGAGTTTGTGTTTTAATTTCCTACTCTTATGTCTTTATTTTTAAAAGCCCTGAGTTTCCAGTTGGGTGTGTAGCAGCACACAGCTGTGGTCCTAGTGTTGAATGGCTGAGGATGAGGTGGTGAATGTAGCTCAGCTTTAGAATATGGACATACTCAGTGCTCTAGGTTTGCTCCCCAGCACCACCAAAAAAAAGGGAAATCATGTTTTGGATTTTTGCTTTGGTACTACAGATTGAACCCAGGGACTACAGTGAGCTAGTCTCAGTCCTTTTTTGAAAGTTTGAGGTAGGGTCATGTGAAGTCTCTTAAACTGCCCAAGTGGGGCTCGAATTGGGACTCCTGTGCCTTAGTCTCCCAGAGTGCTGGCATTACAGGTGTGTGCCTCCATGCCCAGGGGCTTTTTTTTTTTTTTGAGGATCTCATTGTGTAGTCCAGGCTGGTCTTAAACTTGTAATCCTCCTGCCTCAACCTCCACCCCCAGGGCAGGGATTACTGATGAATGCCACCACTCCCAGCCTGTTAGAACTTTTTGAGAGAATGGTGCTATGTTGTGTAGCAGAGTCACAGAGATAGACACTTACTACAGCATTGTAATAGAAAAAAAGCTGAAATAAGTGAACATCCAGTTGGTTTTATGTAGCCATTTAAAATTATGTTGACCATATAGAAAAGAAAAAAGCTGAACATACAGTGGTGTATTATTTGAATTTCTAAAATGGAAAGTAAATAAGCAAAAATAGAAGTTGTGCAAGGACTATTTAATCATGGACATGCCTAAAGATGTATCTTTGCACATTGCTTATAATGCCACAACGTTAAAAACAATTTAAGTATCAAATGCACCAGGGGCTTGACAGCTAAATACTGTGTTTAAGGGGTTTAGCTCAGTGGGGTAGGTGCTAGCTTGGCAAACGCAAAGTTGTAAGTTTGATCCCTGTTACCAAAAAACAAAAAATAACAAAAAAAATAAATAATGCATTCATTAACAGTGTAAGAGTTAATGACATAAAAGTGGTTTATTTTGTTTCTTGGCTTTTTGAGAGAAGATTCTGCTGTGTAGTTCAGGCTGACCTTGAACTCAGTGTATGGTCCGGGCTGGCCTTGAACTCATGGCACTTCTGCCTCAGCCTCCCTCCTGCTAGGATTACAGGTGTGCACCACCATGCTGGGCTCAGTGAAAGTGGTTTATGATGTGTCATAAAGAAGAAAGGACAGGTTTCAAAATAGTTTTTATGATAATGAAGTCTTGGACACATACAAATGCAGTCTGCCAAGAAATGTATACACACTTCAGGAAAAGAAAAACTTGTATAGATTTTTAATACTAAATATATTGAGACATGAGATTAATGAAAGTTATCTTTGGTCTCTGCAATTAGAAGAGATGCTCAAAGTGGTAGCAGTTAGCTTCCAGACATTTATTAGTATGGCAGTCAGCTGTGTGGGTAACCTTGGTCAGTTGAGATTGCCACACATGCATTTTTAATTTCTCTAAGGGCCAGCAGTGTAGTGGGTTTTCTCCTATATATCACATCCTTTAGGGTCCCCCCCATAGAAGGATAACACCATCTGTTGAAAAAACATCGTTTTTCTTTTCCTGAAGTATATATGCATTTTTGACTGACTATATATAAAGTAAATGACTAAAAGTATATATTAATGTTCATGTTGACGATTAGTGGTGACTATAGATTTAATTTTTTTATTTCTAAGTTTTTTTAAAATCAGTACCGGGGATCGAATTCACGACCACGCGCTTGCAAGGCAGGCACTTACGCTGCTGGGCTAAATCCCAAGCCCCTATTTCTAAATTTCTAAAGAAGTATTTTGAGATTAAAAATTGTAATTTCTGATTGGAAATGAAAAACCTAAGATTTGATGAAATGATGGGAAAGTTCAAGTCCTGGCCTTAAGGTCAATTGTTCTATTTAAAATTACAAATTGGGTGTGGTGGTGCACATCTGTAATGTCAGAACTGAGGCTGAGGCAGGGGCAGAGGGATTGCCTGCCAGAATTTGAGGCCAGCCTGGGTTGCATGTGAGATCCAGTGTCAGAGAGAGAGAGAGAGAGAGAGAGAGAGGAGGAAGGAAGGAAGGAAGGAAGGAAAGAAAGAAAATTACAGTCTGCTTCCTTCCACTCATATCCCCCCATTTATCTGTGTTTTTCTGTAGCACTTAACCATGTAAGTACTGTATATTTTGCTTATATTTTTTTCTTTTACTTTTTTTTTAATCGGTACGGGAATCCAACCCATGACCCTGAGTTTGCAAGGCAGGCATTTATGCCACTGAGCTAAATCCCCAGCCCTGAGCTGTTTTTTCATTGATTAGAAGGTAAGCTTCAGGGGCTGGGGATTTAGCTCAGTGGCATAAGCGCCTGCCTTGTAAGCAGGTAGTCTTGAGTTCGATCCCTGGTACCGATAAAGGAAAAATGCAAAAAAAAAAGGTAAGCTTCCAATAGCAAGTATCTGCTCTGAGGCACCTAGAATAGTACCTAGTAAATAGTAGATATTCAGTGAACATTTGAGTTTTTTGTTTTTTTTTTCTTTTGTCTTTTTCCTTTTTATGGGTATCCAGGTTGATCTTGAACTCATTATGTAGCCCAGGCTGACCATCTTCCTGCCTCAGCCTCCAGAGTGCTTAGATTTGAATTAGTAAAATGAAAATTTAGCAGTGAGTAGAAACAAGACACTACTTTTGCCTTTTTCTAGTCTATATTGACACATTAAAAAAATTCCCTCTTAAGAGTATGAGATGTATTTTTCATGTTTACATGGTTTTCATTTTCTGTTATTGTGTGGTTTTTTTTTTCTTTTTTTGAACAGGGTCTTGCAGTGTAGCACAGGTTGGCCTGTCTTGGGGTGATCATCCTGCCTTTTAGCTCCTGAGTGTTGGGATTATAGGTGTGTGTCACCATGTTCTTTTTTTGTTGTTGTTTTTTCTGAAACGGTCTCACTATATAGTTCAGACTGGCCTTGAACTCAGGTGATCCTCTTGCCTCATGCTCCCAAACACTGGGATTACAGGTGTGCCCCACCATGCATGGCTTCCATCTTTTTGACACTTTTTTTTCTTTTTTATTGGTACCGGGGATCGAACACATGACCGCCTGCTTGCAGGGCAGGTGCTTATGCTGCTGAGCTAAATCTCCAGCCCCTGGCTGGCCATCTTTTTTATTTATTTTTTTGTGGTACTAGAGATCGAACTTAGGACCTCACGTTTGCTAGGCAGGTGCTTATGCCACTGAGCTAAATCCCTGGCCATCTTTTTTTTTTTTTTAATTTTCACTTTTATTTTTGCATACATATTTGGTTTAAAAAATCAGTGAATTTCTAGGCTTGGTTGAGGTAACTGAGAAACCTTTACAAGTAGTTTATATTGTGTAGATCCGATGTATGCAGCAACCACAGTCTGAAGTAAAAGGAGAAGTAACATCTTTCTAAAGACAGGCTTGGATATTGTAATCCAGTATGTTAAGATGTTTCCTTTCTCTGGATAGCAGGGTTGATTGATATCTGGCTGCTATAAACCAATAGCCAAGCAAACAGGGTACAGACCACCAAAAACTGAACCAGTCAGTCCAGCCCGTGTCATGATATATAGGTTCAAATCACCTATACTCACAGGTAAACTTATAAAACTTTCGTAAGAGGCATTTGCTGACAAAAGTGGGATCACTGCCATTGGTAAGCCAGCAGCTATACCAGCCTTTGTCACATGTAAGATGTGCCAAAAAAGACTGCTTGCTATTAGACCACAGAAAGCAGCATTACGTCCAATGTATGCCAGTCCACGTCCAAGTAGACTCCTGTCTTATTTCTAGAAGTTGTTTAATTTTTCTGGCTATGATATCAATTAAGTTTTTCTGGTTTATGATCATTTAAACCATTTTCATTATTTTGTTACCACAAAGGCCATTACAGTAAGTGCTTTCATGGATATAGTTTATTTTTATTGGTACAGCTTAGTTACACCTAATGATCACATTCATCATAGGGAATTTATACCTGTACATGATATATCAATAATTTTTTCCCTATTCCCCTCCCCTCCCGTCAGCCTCTCTGCCTTTTTTATTTTTTGATACAAGGTCTTAACTCTACTTCAGGCTGGCCTTGAACTCACTGTGTAGTTTAGGCTGGCCTCAAATTCATGGCAATCCTCTTGCCTCAGTCTCCCAAATGCTGGGATTACAGGTGTGCACTATATTGCTTAGTCTTTTTTTTTTAATCGGTACCAGGGATCGAACTCACAGCTGCCTGCTTGCAAGGCAGACGTGTATGCCACTGAGCTAAATCCCCAGCCCCACAAAGCTTAGTCTTAACCTTCCTTATAAAATCTTTGTTTCCAATTTTTTCCTTATATTCTTTTTCCTTTGTCTCTTCTTTCTTTCCCCCCTCCCCTCCCTTATTCCCCTTCTCATTGGAATATTTTCTTCCCATTTCCTAAAATCTTGTACATCTTCAGTTTCTCACACCAGAGAAGCAATGCAGTATTTAAACACATGTGTCTGATTTATGTCTGATTTATTTCACTTACAAGGTGCATCCATTTAGCTGGAAATGTCTCAAGTTTATCCTTCTTTATGGCAGCATAGTACTCTGTTGCAATAAAAACCCCTACATTGTCTTTATCTATTCATGGTTAACAGGCATTTGGGGTGTTTCCAAGGTTTAGTTATTACAAACTCATGGTTGTGCATATATTGCTGTGATATGCTTTTAATTCTTTTGGGAAATACCAAGAAGGAGATGGCTGGGTACAGTGGGCCTGAGATTTTTCAGGAATCTCCACCACACTCCCACCAATAGTGAAGGGTTCTTTTTTCCCTATAACCCCACCAGCATTTGTCATTGGTTGATTTTTTTTTTTTTAATCGGTACCGGGGATCAGACTCATAACTGTGATCCGAGTGCTTGCAAGGCAGTGCTTATGCCGCTGAGCTAAATCCCCAGCCCCATGTTGATTTCTTGATAATAGCCATTTTTCCTGGAGTGAGATGGACTCTCAGTGTTGTTTTAATTTGTATCTCTCAAATAACCAGTGATGTTGAACATTTTTTTCATATACTTATTTGCTGTTTCTACTTCATCTGAGAAGTATCTAATCATTTTAGATGCCCACTTTTGTATTGGGTCTTTAAATTTGAGGGTTTGATTTGATTTGTTTTGTTTTTAGTTCTTTATGTATTCTAGGTAGTACTGCTTTGAGGAACAGCTGGCAAAAAATTTTTCCCACACTTTGGGTTGTCTCTCCAGTCTGGTTTCTTTTGCTGTGCAAAAGCATTTTAATAAGATGACATTTTGCTTGTTGATTCTTTGTGATGTATCCTGTATGAGTGAGGTTTTGTTCATGGATGTAGTTTAATTTTAACATTTCTTGATAAATTCTAAAATTCTTGAGTTAGAGAGCTGGAACTTTTTTTTGTTTGATTTTTTTTTTTTTTTTTTGGGTAAGGGATCAAACTCATGACCTTGAGCTTGCCAGGCAGGTACTTACACTGCTGAGCTAAATATTCGGCCCCATTTGATTGTTTTTTGAGACACAGTCTTGCTGTGTAGTACAGGCTGGTCTTGAACTTACTGTGTAGCTCAGGCTAGACTTGAACACCCTAGCAGTCCTCCTGCTTTTAATCTGTCAAGTGCTGCCATGCCCCATTGGTTTGTGTTTTTTTTGAGATGAGGTCTCATTGTAGTTTCAGGCTGATTTTGAACTCATGGTGATCCTCCAGCTTTAGCAGCTCAAGTGCTTGAATTGCAGGTGTGTTCCACCACACCTGGCTTTGACTATTTTAATATCTTGAGTTATCTATTATGAAACACTTTTTTGGCTGGGTATGGTGGTGCATGCCTGTAATCTTTAACACTGGGAGGGGGCAGGCTCAGGTAGGAGGACCTTTGAGAGTTTTGAGACCAGCCTGAACTGCATAGTGAGACCCTGTCTCAAAAAGACACATACACACAAAAGAAACACTTTCTATATACGGAATTTGGTTATTGCATTATTTACTAGGTGGTACATAGAGAGTAAATATCAGGAAGATGATGCAAACCAAAAGTACATCTAACCCTGTGCCACATCCTGGAAACTTTACTGTTGATTCTACTCTATCTGTTGTAAAATGTCTCCCCCAAAACCTAGACTTTATTACTCCAGTCTTAACAATCTGTTTTAGTCATTGATCCTCATCTCCACCTCTGTACTGGTGCTTAAACCCAGGATTTGAGCATTAAGCTATTGCCAGGCATTCTTTCTTTTTTTAAAAGAAATAATTCTCATTGTCTTTTTGAGACAAGGTTTTGCTGTGCAGTTCAAACTGGTCTTGAACTCAGCATTCCTCCTGCCTCAGCCTCCTGAGTTTTGGGATTACACCATGCCCAGTGTATTTTTTTTACGTTTTATGACAGGGTTTTCTCCAAGTTTCTCAGGCTGGGCTTGAACTTGGGATCCCACTGCCTCAGCCTCCCAGAGTGCTAGGATTATAGGCATGTACCACCATCTCCTTCCTTCAGTTACTGTATTTAAAGTGAGGTTTGAGGGCCAGGGTTTAGCTTAGTGGTATTAAGTGCCTGCCTGACAAATGGCGAGGTCATGGAGTTTGATCTCTAGCACCAAAAATAAAATGAGATTTGATATATTTTTAGGGAGTATGACAACTTTTTGATATATTTTTAGGTAATATGATAATTTTAATTATACTGAAAGACATTGCTATTAGTCCCCCTCACTTTGTATTCCATTAAATATATTATTTTTGCCCCTGTATGATTTTGGGTAACAGTGATTTATTGTTAAAGTACTTATGAGACATTTTTGTTTGTAGTATGTAATGATTACACTTAGTAATATAAATATATTAAAGTGGAAATTTTCTTTGTTCTTCTGGTAAAGTTCTCATTTAATGTTGCCTTTGTTTTTTTGAGTTTGGAGATTGGATTTAGTGTACCTCATAAGTGTGTTTTTAGAGTTTCGAATTGTACTACTTTGCCACAATTTTTCAAAGTGACCATTTGTTTGGATCTAGCAAAAGCCAGACTACCAAAGGTAATTCGTGACAATGTAAGTCATCAGGAAGGTGACTGATTGCAATTGTTAGCCCACTTTTTCTTTTTTTTAGGGTGTAAAAATGCAGAGCAATAAAACTTTTAATTTGGAGAAGCAGAACCATACTTCCAGGAAGCATCATCAACATCACCACCAGCAGCACCACCAGTCACAGCCGCAGCAGCAGCCGCAGCCGCAGCCACAGCCACAGCAGCAGGCACAGCAGCAGCCACAGCAGCAGCCGCCACCACCACCACCGATACCTGCAAATGGGCAACAGGCCAGCAGCCAAAGTAAGTAACTGCTCGAATAAAAATAGGTTCCATTTTGGAAATGCCTTCCTTGTTTTTTATTTTAAATTTTTTTAAGCTAGTGTCTTGCCATGTAGTTCAGGCTGGCCTTTAACTGAGGGCAGTCCTCCTGATTCAGCCTCCTGAGTACTGAGATTACAGGTGTTTATTACCACATCCACAACCATCTTTTTTTCCCCACAACCATCTTAATTTTTAGATTATATCTTAGAACTGTGAGGGAATAGGCTTTTATGGTATACCTTTTTGTTGTTGTTTTTTCCTGTTTCCCTCTTAATACCTTTTATGATAGAAAAGGGCTGATCCCCTGAAACCAGGGAACAGAAATGCATGATAGCATTTGAATATATATTGTTGTGTTGGTACATTGTACTACTAAACAGATGTCTATGTTTTACCTCATTTTGTTTCTTAGAAATAGTTATCAACCAAAAGAAAAAAAAAGAAATAGTTATCAATTGACTTATAAAGAAAATATTGGTAAGTCTTTAAAGTTTAGTGGCAAAAATTGGTTTAAGAGTTTATAAACCCTAGGGCCAATGACAGGCCAGTTTTAATCAGTTAATTGTCTAAATGTATGTTTCCGCTTGCGCGCGCGCGCGCATGTGTGTGTGTGTGTGTGTGTGTGTGTGTGTGTGTGTGTTTTGCACTGCTTAGTATGAAACCCCAAAGCCTTACACATGCTAAGCGTAAACCACTGAGCTAGATCCCCCTGTCCTGAGCAGTTGCTTTAAATTTAAAATCTGATTCCTTGTAATAAGAATCCTTTAGTTGCCTAATAATGTCTTTGGGCAGTAGCTCCTGTATTCATTCTCTCTCTCTCTGTCTGTCTCTGTCTCTGCCTCTGCCTCTGCCTCTGCCTCTGCCTCTGCCTCTGTCTCTGTCTCTGTCTCTGTCTCTGTCTGTCTCTCTCTCTCTCTCTCTCTCTCTCTCTCTCTCTCTCTTTGGAGTCAGGGTCTCATTATGTAGTCCAGGCTGATTTTAAACTCATGTGGCCCAGGCCAGCCTTGAACTCAGAGCAGTCACCATGCTTTAGTCTCCCAAATACTGGGATTATAGGCGTGTGCCACCACTCTTGACTACACCTGGCTATTTTCTAAGAAGTTTTTATTAGTACATATTTGTAGTACATAATGATTGGTGATATTATGAGTGACTAATTTTCTTTTTCCAGTTTTTTGAGGACTTCTGTTTCTTTTCTCAGATGAAGGTTTGACTATTGACCTGAAGAATTTTAGGAAACCAGGAGAGAAGACCTTTACCCAACGTAGCCGTCTCTTTGTGGGCAATCTTCCCCCGGATATCACTGAGGAGGAAATGAGGAAACTATTTGAAAAATATGGGAAAGCAGGAGAAGTTTTCATTCATAAGGATAAAGGCTTTGGCTTTATCCGCTTGGTAAGCAACTGTGTTCTTTGGGGCACATGATTTGATGGATATGGAAAAATAGATTTAGAAATAATTCTCAAGATTGCTTAAAGTTTGTAATTGATGAAATGAAAGAAAAATGTGAAGATTTTTTTTAATTTTGTTACGGGTTTTTTTTTCCTTTTTTCTTTTTTTTTTTTTTTTTTTTTTGAGAATTGGAAATTGAACCCAGGACCTCACATGCCTCCCAGGCAGGCACTGTGCCACTGAGCTATATCCCTGTCCCTTTCGTCAGTTTTTTTTTTTTTTATTTAAGGAGAAAAAGAAAAAAACAGAAAAAGGGTATAAGTAATACAGAAATAAAAAAAAATAAACAGGAAATCACTAGTTAATAGATTACATACTGTCATCTTAGAAATAGTTGTTCAAGTTACAAAATTAAAGCATATAAAGTAGACATTCAAGCAGTGAGATTGCAAACAGTTCTGTTCAGTGATCCAACAAAAACTCAGTAATATGGTTATCTATCTTATACGCTTAAATATACATGCAGTTAATCCTTTAGGGCAGTTTCTTTTCTCTCTTTTTTACAATGACAATTGCGCATTCTGGATTTTATGAGAATAAAACCAAATGTGACATAACAAAACAGAGTCAGTCAAATCAAAAGGATGAACATAGTACATGATGTAAAAACATAATACAAGGTGATCAACAATGGTTACCATAATGCCTCTTGCTATCTTAAAAAGAATTGCCTATATCATCAGGTATAATAAAATTGAACAAAACAGTTAAGAAAACCAATAAAACCGAATCATTGGAGATATTACAGGACCTCAAAAGAAGATAATAGTCAAACCAGAATGGGCATCATAGTGGATCTCATTATCTTCACAGTTGTTGCCTATACTCTCAAACTTGGTACTATCAAGCAAAACAGAATAGAGGAAAATCAGTCAAAACAAGATGGTGAGAGCAATACAGGGTTTCAAATCAAGTTAATAGGAAATCAAAGTGGGTTACTATAATATATCCTGCTATTTTTTATTTTTTTTCCTTAATTAAAAAGATAAAAATTAATAAAAAGAGATTGAGATAAAAGACATAACATAACAAAACAAGTCAGAACATAACAATTTAAGCAACATAGTGTTTCACCACAAGATATCCCAACATAAAAGTAGTTATCATAGTGTCTCTGTAACTTTATATACTGTAGCATCAAACATCAAGACAATGTAAAACCATTCAAGAGAATGACAGTATTACAGAGTATTTAGAACCAACTAACCGAAAACGAACAATGGTTTCTGTATTATCTCCTTGTCTATAAATGTTTTTGTTTATATTATCACATATAATAAAATCCAATAAGGTACAATATGTTAAGACTGATGGAGACAGAAGAACAAAAGCTTGATGGGACTTCAAGACAAGATGATATTAACTCAGCACTAGCTATTATGATGTCTTGTTTTCACCAAAATAGCTGTTCATACCAGCTCAGACAATAAAATCAAACAGCCCAGAATATAACCATTACAATTAATGAATGAAAACATTATAAGGCGTCAAAGTAATATAATGGGGAATCGTGATTACCACATACTTTTATGTATTATCATTTCTTACATGAGTGAAACTATTCGGTTTTCATACATGTGGGTTTGATTTATTTCACTTATGAGTATGGTCTCAAGCTGTGCTCGTTTATAAATATCTCAATGTTATTCTTTATAGCTGAGTAGTACTCCATTGTATAAAAATACCACAACTTTTTTTTTTGTCTTTTTCCTTTTTATCGGTACCAGGGATCGAACCCACGATTGCCTGCTTGCACGGCAGGCACTTATGCCGCTGAGCTAAATCCCCAGCCCCAAAAATACCACTTTTTTATCCATTCCTCTCTTTCCTCAGTTTTTAAGAACATAGGTTCATTTCTCTAGGATATGCTTGGAATTTATTTTGTTTTCATTGGGAAATTTGAATATAGTGAAGGTGTAAATATGCATTGCCCAGCTTCAACTCATGGTTAATTTTATTTGCTGTCCACTATAGCATGTTTTTTTCCAGGGAAAGTTTTAGTGCCACTCAAAGTTTATATAATGCATTTCTAAAGTCTATACATATATTGTCTCATTAGACGCCCCTAAAGTGATAGAATTTTGTACCTTTTCAAAATCTTTTAATTGAGGTGGGTGTGGTAGCACACACCTGTAATTCCAGCATTCCCAGAGGCTGAGGCACAAGGATCATTGAGTTTGATACCAGTCAAGACTACAAAGTGAGTTCAAGGCCAGCCTGAACTGCATAGTGAGACCTTGTTTCAAAAAGATGGGGAAAAAACCCTTTTAACTGATCACATAGGCACTTTTTAGAGGAAGAGTTTTGGGGATGGAACCAATAGCTTTGCACATGCTAGAGAGGTATTCTATCCCTGAGCTACACACCCAGCTTTACCTGTGTGTGTGTGTGTGTATGTTTGTGTGAGTGTGAGACAAAGTTAAGACAATACAGTTCAGGCTGGCCTAAACTAACTATGTAGCCCAAGTTGGCCTCAAACGTGGGGCAATACTCCTTCCTCAGCTTCTCAAGTGCTGGGATTATAGGTATATGCTACCATGCCCAGCAAGGGGAGAACATTTCTAGTTATTACCTTTCTCCATAAATGATTAGATCATGATGTGGCAGCAAGATCAGTAGACAGAGATAGAACTTTGTAGGTGTTATTTTTTATATGAGTATCAAGGAGTCCCATCAAAGTCTTTGGTTCTGAAGAAGTATCTTGGAAGATGTATGTGCTTGAGAGTGTATTCCTAGTGAAATGTAAAGTATTTTTTGTGCTGAATTGTAAGAGTAGAAATGTTAGGATGGTCTTGTTGTTTTGGTGATTTGGTTATCACTTGGGAAAATAACCTATCATGTAAGTGGTATTTATAGATTTCCAATTTCAGTCACTTAGGATAACTAGAGTTACCTGAAATCACAATTCAGTTGTTTTAGTTTTTATTCATTTCTTTATTTGTATTAACAAAGTGGGGGTGCATTCTGTTACTGAGCTATGTCACTTTATTGATGATTGCTCAAGTAGTCTGTATTAAACTGAATTTTTCCTAATGTTCTTAGGAAACACGAACCCTTGCGGAGATTGCCAAAGTGGAGCTCGATAATATGCCCCTCCGTGGAAAACAACTGCGTGTGCGCTTTGCCTGCCATAGTGCATCCCTTACAGTCCGAAACCTTCCTCAGTATGTGTCCAATGAGCTACTGGAAGAAGCCTTTTCTGTGTTTGGCCAGGTGGAAAGGGCTGTAGTTATTGTGGATGATCGAGGAAGGCCCTCGGGAAAAGGCATTGTTGAGTTCTCAGGGAAGCCAGCTGCACGGAAAGCTCTTGACAGATGCAGTGAAGGATCTTTCCTGCTAACCACGTAAGTAAGGATCATCAGAAATAGACCTTCAATTCCTACTGGTCTGGAGAATTATCCTTTAATAACCAAATTCCTGTGTTTAAAGTTGTATGTGTCTATTTCTAGAAATTGAATCAAGGGCTTTTGTACTCAGCTACATGCACAGCCCCCTTTTTTTTGCTGTGTAGTTCAGGCATTGAACTCACTGTGTAATGCAGGATGGCTTTAAACTCGTGGCAAGCCTCCTGCCTCAGCCTCCCAAGTACTGGGATTACAGGCATGTGCTAGCACACCTGGCCTTGAAAGGTTGCTTTCTGCACACAGTCTCTCTGTATTTCAGTTTATTTAGTGAAGTTCTATAGATATCAAATGTTAGGCTGCATTTAAGTATTGTACTATCCTACTTTTAACAATTTTTTGGTGACCATATTCAGAGATGTGAAGCCTAGAGACTTCATCCTGTTAACCCCAAATTCTGTATAATGCAATTAAAAGGATTTGGTTACTTGGGGATAGATGTAGAAATATGTCTGATTGTCTAGTCCTGGTCCCTAGTTAGTTCTTTGTGCAGTTGGGCTTTTGTTTTTGTTTTTTGTTTGGTTTGGTGAGATAGGGTCTTGATATGTAGTTCAGGCTGACCCTAGAACTCATGGTGATCTTCCTGCCTCAACCTCCGGGGAGGGGAGATTACAGGCATGCACCACCATACCTGGCAAAGAGATGATTTTATTAACACTAAACTTCCTTCTTTCACCCAGATTTCCTCGGCCTGTGACTGTGGAGCCTATGGACCAGTTAGATGATGAAGAAGGACTTCCAGAAAAACTTGTTATAAAGAACCAACAATTTCACAAGTATGTTGGCATGATACATTACCTGTTAGGTGTGACCTATTGTTTGTTTGTTTTTTGAGACTCTTACATAGTTTAAACTGGTTTTGAACTCACTATGTAGTGTAGTCTGACCTTAAACTTGCTGTGATTCTCCTGAATCCTGGGATTAGAGGCTTGTGCTACTGTGCCAGGCTTTGTTGATGTTGTTGGTTTTTAATAAATGAAGCCTATTTTATCATTTTAAGTGTTAATGATAAAATTTCAGCACAGCTGTTGTTTTTGTTTTTGAGATGGGGTCTTGCTGTGTAGTTCAGATTTGCCTTGAACTCACTAAGTAGCCCTGACTGGCTTTAAACTTGTGGCATTCCTCCTGCCTCAGCTGGGATTGCAGTTTTGAGCTACCACATTGGGTTTTATCTACTGAGGTACTTCTTTTAAGGCATATGTAAGAGACAAGTGTTTGCTTTACATATCCTTTGGCATTTAACTTTGCTCTCAAAAAGAATGTGTTGCTTTGCTGGGGAAATTTCTTTTGTCTTTTTGAGACAGGATCTTGTTATGTAGTTCAGGCTGGCCTTGAACTCATTTTTTAACCCAGTATGGTCTTGAGTTTGCAGTGATCCTCCTGCCTCTGTCCCCCAAGTGCTGGGATTACAGGCATGTCCTACTATGCCTGGCTGCTGGGAAAATCTTGAACAGAGTTAGTAATTTTGAAACCTTTTCACAGGGAGCGAGAGCAGCCACCTAGATTTGCACAACCTGGCTCCTTTGAATATGAGTATGCCATGCGCTGGAAGGCACTTATTGAGATGGAGAAGCAGCAGCAGGATCAAGTGGACCGCAATATCAAGGAAGCTCGTGAGAAGCTAGAGATGGAGATGGAGGCTGCTCGCCATGAGCACCAGGTTATGCTGATGAGGCAAGGTGAGTATAGCCTTGTCAGTTTAAAGCTAGAATAGGGCCAGGATTTAGCTGAGTGGCACAGGCACCTGCCTGGCAAGTGCAAAGTCCTGAGTTCGATATCCCAGTACCAAAAAGTAAATAAAACTAGAAGAATAACAAAACGTTTTTTTGTCAGGAGTCTCTGCTTTTATTCTGTGAAATAGTTTATGTTGCTCTTGGTAGTCTAATAAATGGCTTGGGGAAGGAAAATATTAGATTCTTGGAAGAGGAATTTATATAGATTTAACTTGAATTTTGGGCCCTGGGCATTTAACCTCAGGGGATATTATCCTCTTTGCATTCTGGATCCTAATGGAAAATTATCAGATACATGAGTAGTACTCTCAATATGTTGATAGATTTGATGAGACGCCAAGAAGAACTTCGGAGAATGGAAGAGCTGCATAACCAAGAGGTCCAAAAACGAAAGCAACTGGAGCTCAGGTAACTTTTCTCGAACCTTTTTCTCTGACAACTGGAAAAGGTAATGTCTCCCTCTTGCTTCCTACCACTGTGCGACTTCATACATCTATAAATGTATTGGTGAATATCTCATGGTTGCTTCTCAGATCCTCCCTTTGAATGGGAGATGCTTTAGTGCCTGTGGTTCTAGAAAATTACCTGAGACTGCACTAGAAAGAAAGCAGCTAAGTATTGTTCTCATCAGACTTCCTTGAGGGTTGCCATAATTCTGGGTGAGCTATGATAGTCTTGGGTGAGTGATCTCATCTGCTTGGCTCAGCCTCCTGTTAAGATCTGCCGAAGTTCTGGAATGCCTGTATCTTAAATACAATGATGGCTCTCTAGGCAGGAAGAGGAGCGTAGGCGCCGTGAAGAGGAAATGCGGAGGCAACAAGAAGAGATGATGCGGCGACAGCAGGAAGGATTCAAGGGAACCTTCCCTGATGCGGTATATCTCCCATGTGTCTGTGATGTACCAGGCTATTTGTGATATCACAAAACCACCATGAATTGTGTACCAACATATAAGGTTATGACCAATTTTTCTATGCTGTGAAACTCCTTTTAGAAAAAAAGGATTCATGGGAGCTAGAGGTAAGGTTTGAAAGGGAGTTCATCTTCTCTCACTGGTGATTAGGATGCAAATTTGGGGACCCTCGCCTGTATGTTCACTGTATGTTGTAGACTCAATAGTTGTAGAATGAGATAAATTGAGTTCTGCTAACAGCTTTGTTTAATTTACTGCTGTTTCTGTAGAAGTTGGAGTCCCAAAAGAAATAAACCATTTCTCTCTATACCCCTCACTTTGTTACTAATGGGAAACTTAGCTTGTATCCTAATAGCTGTGTGACCTGAACTCCCTGTGCAATGAGTAAGGGTCTGTGAATTGCTCCTTACCTTAGTCTGAGTGCTCTTGGGATATGCTAACACTGTATTTTATTCCTTTTGTGTGTAGTTCTCAATAAATTGTGGTAGAATGCATTACTGTCTTGGACTGTCTTGAGTGTTTTTGTTTTTCAGAGAGAACAAGAGATTCGGATGGGCCAGATGGCTATGGGAGGTAAGGACTTCAGATGTGATGGCTCTGATTTACATTTTTGTTTGATGTCTGGAGAGCTATACATTTTCTCTTACCTTGTCCAGATTTAAATCTGGGTCTGATACTTACAGGAACTTTATTTTTTGTGGACTGTGTGTAATCTCTTTTAGTCCAGAGGTCATATTGAACTTTTTCTTTGGTGTAGAAAACCCATCCACTTAATCTAATGACACTTTCTGCTTTAGGTGCTATGGGCATAAACAACAGAGGCGCCATGCCCCCTGCTCCTGTGCCGGCTGGTACCCCAGCTCCTCCAGGACCTGCTACTATGATGCCAGATGGAACATTGGGACTGGTAATAAACTGCAGGGCCTTAAGAGTAATTCTAAATAATAGGAGAAAAGGCTTTGCCTTCATAGCGCCTGGGCCTACCTCAGTTTTGTAGGAAATAACCATCTGTAGGACTGCTGGTATCCATGAGATAGTTTGTTTTTCATTTGAAACAAGGTCTCCCTGTGTAGTTCAGGCTGGCCTTGAACTTGCTACAGTCCTTCTGTCTTGGCTTCCTGAGTGCTGGAATTACAGGTGTGTACCACCATGCCTGGTGGTGGGTTTTACTCTTGAAAAAATTCAAACACATTATATCTGAGTTAAGTGACAAGCCAATCTGATGGCTACTCTGGAGAGACAATGAAAGTTTGGCATTATCATATAAAATAGATATGAATCCAAAGACATGCCTCTCAGATCCAGGGTTTTCAGTTGTAGTGTCAAAATGGTAGTGCCAACAAAACTGATTAGGCTTAACTTGCTGGAGAGTGATGACCTGCCCTTGTTTAGATACTAATCAGGAAAAAGGATTTGTATTATTGTTTAGTCAGTAGTGAGAAATGTAGATAAAAGGTTCAAGGTAGGATGACTCAGTTTGTCCCAAATTCAGACAACTGTCCTCTGGAGGGTTACTCAGTGCTAGCATCAAGAGCCTTAGAATAGTAAATTGGAAATCGCATCCAGTGGAGAGAGTAACTATAGGTGAGTGGGTAACTTAGGACAAAGATTCTATTGTAACATTGCTCTCTTCTTCTCTTTTAAGACCCCACCAACAAGTGAACGCTTTGGCCAAGCTGCTACAATGGAAGGAATCGGGGCAATTGGTGGAACCCCTCCTGCATTCAACCGTGCAGCTCCTGGAGCTGAATTTGCTCCAAACAAACGTCGCCGATACTAATAAAGTTGCAGTGTCTAGTTTCCTGAAACCCTTAAAAGAAGGAACCCTTTTGGACTAGCCAGAATTCTAACTTGAAAAAGTGTTAGGGATTCCTCCCAATAGTTAGGTCTTCCCTGCCTGGTACTACTCTAAGGGAGTATGCTGGAGGCAGAGGGCAAGGGAGGGGTGATATTTAACGAATCAGTTCTGTGTGGTATATTGTTTAATCAATTTCTGTGTGATGCATTCCTGAAATTTCAAATATAATTAATTGTTGAAGGCCTGGGGCAACCATGACAATGGTTCCTTGGAGTCCTGTTAATCTTGATCATTCCGGTTTTTTGTCCATTGTGTTTTATTTGCTTTCTACACCCCTCACTCCAGAGACACTGCCACATATACCACAAAAACCAAACATCTCCATCTCCCAGTGACCTTAGCCCCATTGCTCCATTTGCTCCCAGATGAGGATTCAGGCAAATGTCCACAGAGGTCACAGACAGCTTATGTGTGTTCTGTTATATCCCATATATTATCCTTTCATGTAGTAAAGACATTTTCTCTTAGAGATTTTCATTTTAGTATATCTTAAAAAAATTCTTGTGTTAACTTGCCTCCATGTTTTCCTTGGGTAAGAACGTCCTAGGAATGACCCTTTTATGTCCATGATGTTGCTCTTCACAGCTTTTCTTGATAGGCTTAGTACAATCTTGGGAACAGGGTTGCTGTATGCTGAAGGTCTGACAGTAGCTCTTAGCCTTGCCTATCTTAGATAAGTATGCTGTGCATTTTTATTGGTGTACCATGTTTGATTTATCCCTGATACCTTAAATTTGGAGTTTTCTGAGAAATGGAGTGGTAATACAGCATCAACTTATTAAAGTACATTTTAAGCCTTTTAATTTTCTGTGCTGTTTTTTTTAAAGGGGAAGGGAGGGAAGTGTGGTTACCTTGTAAGGATACAAACAGGTTCTATAAAGGTGATCCATTATGACCTTCCGATTGAAGTATTAGTCATACATTTAGGCAAATGGGAAGGAGGTAGGAGTGAGGTATATACTGAGATTGAGATGGTTAAAAAGGATCTGTTGTCGGCGTTACATGGAAATAATGAGTGATCCCAGGGGAATTTTTTGGGGGGGATCTTTTTGAGACGGGGTCTTGCAATTCAGGCTGGCCTTGAGCTCACTTTGTAGCCTAGGCTGGTCTCGAACTCACAATGATCCTCCTGTCACAGCCTCCTGAGTACTGGGATTACAGGCATGAGCCCCACACCCAGCTCTTTTTTTTCTTTTTTTCCAGTCTCTAACTCCTAAAAGTCACAATAACCTTTCTGCCTCAGCCTCCGGAGTGCTGAGATTATAAGCATGCATCAGCATGCCAGGCTCCCAGGGAAGCTTTGAAAGGAAGAATGAGGTAGAGGAATTGAGGTATCTTAATTGAGCTGGGGTGAAGGGGTCGTCTCTTGGTGTTTGTTTCTGAGCAGCTGCTGGTGTGTCAGGCTTGGAGTTGGCAAAATCTAAAACTGTCTCAACAGTTCGCTGACCTCATGCAAGTCTCCCTGATTTTTTTTTTCTGGAGCCTCAAAGCTAAAATTCTCATAAGCTCCTTCCCATTGGCTGGGAAGACCAATTGGAGTTCCTTGCCCATGTTAGGAGTCATATGCCTTCTGAACTAAAGATAGAACCAGCAGGCCCTTCCAGGCAGCTAAAAGCCTCCAGAGTAAGAGGTGTTCCCCATTCTGCAGACTCCTTGAAATACCCTTTCAGTAATTCTACCAATACCTCCATGTCTCTACTCTGCCATAACAAAGGCTGTGGGCAACAATTTGACCCCAATACCAACCTTTCTGGTGAGTAGTTCTTAACCTGGCCAGCACATCTGTGGGATGCTTGGGAGTGGGTGGTCAGCTGTGGGGCTGTTAAGCAGGGAGAAAAACTTGATGTACTGGTTGTAATTGGTTTAAATGATCAATCTTTATGTCTTTTTTTTTTTTTATCGGTACCGGGGATCGAACTCACGACTGCCTGCTTGCAAGGCAGGCGCTTACGCCGCTGAGCTAAATCCCCAGCCCTAGATGATCAATCTTTGCTGAAACATTTTATATAGAGAGAAAATAAACATGTCAGACATGGTGGTATATGCCTGTAATACCAGCACTCTGGATGCTGAGGCAGGAAGGTCACTGTGAATTCAATAACAGCCTGAACTGCATAGTGAAACCCTGTCTCAAAAAGACCACCACCGACAAAATAACCTGGAGAAAAAGAATCGTAGTTGGTATAGTTCTCTTTTGATTTTTCTACTGATATTCACAGATTCCTGTTGCTATCACCCTGGGGTCCCAATCTTCCATGATGCTCTCAAGGTGAGGAGTAGGTGAAGAGAGATCACCTCACAAGGGAAGTATACCCAGGAATCTAAACTCATCTGGGTCTCTTGTTAACCAGGGTTGGTCCTGCTGCCAAAAGAGAACTATAGATTTCTCTGAGTTCTTAAACATCAAGGTAAATTGCTTCACTTCCTTGGATTATACTCCTAATAGAAGGATTCTGTTTCTAATTCTTTTCTCCTTATTTACAATAGGGCTGTACTATGGGACTACACTGTGCTGAAAAGCTTCCTGAGGCCCCTCAATCTGAGGGCCCTGCTACAAGTTCGCTTCAGGAGCAAAAACCTCTGAATACAATTCCAAAGTCAGCAGAGACCTTGTGCCGAGAAAGGCCTAAGTAAAGAGGAGGAAACCCCTGGGTTTTCCCTAGATTGAGGCAATGTCCTAGGAGTGATTAAATGGATCATTGGGATTTGGTAAATAAGGACCAGAGATGTGAGGAGGGTTTGAAAGGATATACAGTATTCTCTGCTTTAGGGGAAATTTTTGTCTGGAAATGTCTGTCCTCTGCTCAAAGAGGGTCTGAGGATGATGGGATTGATTATTTTGAATCAACAGAGTAGGTAGCCCCAGACAAATACATGCTTAGTAGATAATAACACAAAGGGGATGGTTGAGAATGATCTTTTATTTTTTTTTTCTGGAGAATAGTTTCAAGATAAATCTTAAAAGTAATTGCAGCCAGGAAGCTACAGAAAATTTTGTGAGACTAGTAAGAGCAACAGAAGAAAACTATGGTAGGTCCACAATTAGAAAGATGAGATGATGCAGTTCATTTAGAGCAGCTGAGTAGACGGACAAGAGAAGCTTTGGGGATTTATTTCCCTAGGGTTGAGGAATGTGGGATGTTAACAGAGATTAAGTTGGCAGTGGCTTGAAATTGATAAAAGCTAAGTGAAATGTGTGTACCAACTTTCCCCCAAACAGCTCAGCATTATTTAATACTAACATACACTAACAAAAGAAAAACATACAAACAAAACACTAAATCACCTGCCTATAACCTCTAGGTCTGATTTGCCCCTGAAGCTGCTGCCACTAAATATATCTCATGTCCTAGAAATGGCATTGGAACAAAAAGAACTAGACCAGGAACCTGGAGCAGGTAGGTAGATTCTTTGGAAGGCAGGGCTCACAGACTGGAATGTAGTGGAATAGCATTGGGGTAGGGGGCGGGATGAATAGGTTCCTGACTCTGTTTCCTTTGCCCAGGAATTGATAGTAGTCTGATCTGGACTGGTTCCAGCTGCCAGAACCCAGGATGTGACGCAGTAAGAGTTTTGGGGAGTTCATGTATGTGGATGAGAGATACTACACTTGAAAATAACTGAGTATAGATACGGGGGTACACCTTAGAATGACTTGATTCTTTTCGTAATGCTTCTTTATCTTTGTTAGGTTTACCAAGGCCCAGAGAGTGATGCTACTCTATGTACCTACCACCCAGGAGCACCTCGATTCCATGAAGGGTGAGGGAGGGGACTGCGTAATTTGTGAGGCAGGTTTCTCCCAATATTGATCATAAGTGTGGAATCTGGGGGTGGAAATTCAACTGAATTATCTTCCTGCCTCAGGATGAAGTCTTGGAGTTGTTGTGGCATCCAGACCCTGGATTTTGGGGCATTCCTGGCACAGCCAGGATGCAGAGTTGGTAGACATGACTGGGGGAAACAGGTAAGCCCTAGCTTTCTTGAGTTTTGGTCAGAACCTGATCCCAAAGTTAAACTTGCCATACCTCATGGCCAAGTTCCCTGTCTGCTTTCTTTAGACCGAAAAAGTTTCAGCTCCCAGGCCAGGGGTGTGGCTTAGTGGTAGAGTGGTTGCTTAGCATGTGCAAGGCCCTGGGTTCTATTCTCAGCACTATAAAAAAAAAGATTTTGCACCTGATTACTCTATATATAGCCTAGAGTACTTTGCCATACAATAAGTCTTGTTAATCTTTCTGAGACTGTGGCTGTCTGTCTTCACCGCATACCTGATAAAAACTCCTCTTGGATTGAATCTCTTTTCTGTCTCTCTGTCTCTTTGTCTCTGTCTCTCTTTCTGTTTCCTTTAGTACTGCGTATTGAACCCAGGGACTTCACACTGAGCTCTAGCTCTAGCTTTCTTTGCTTTCTGCAGTGCTGAGGTTTGAATCCAGGTACTTCACACTGAGCTTTAAACCAAGCCCTTTTTATTTTATTTTATTTATTTTTTTGTGTGGTACTGGGGATTGATTTCATAATCTTGTGCTTGCCAGGCAAGCACTTAAGCCACTGAGCTAAATCTCCTGCCCGCTTTTTTTTTTTTTTTTTTTTTCTTTTGAGACAGAGTGTTGCTACGTTTCCAGGTTGGATATTAAATGTGTTATCCTTTTCCCTCAGCCTCCCACAGTGCTAGGATTACAGGCATGTACCACCACCTCTAACAGTTCATTCTTACCATTCATATTTAACATCTTCTCTTTAGCTGCCAGCATCTTGCCGCCATGATTGGCACCAAACAGATTCCTTAGTAGTGATGACTGTATATGGCCAGATTCCACTTCCTGCATTCAACTGGGTGAAGGCCAGTCAAACTGAGGTGAGGAATGATCTGATGCAGGGTGGATGGCTAATGGATTGGATAATAGTACTAGTCTTGCAGGCAGAGGTCCTGTATGCAGTTAACCTGTAGGCTGCAAAGTCTCCTGAAAGGAAGGGAAAACTATTAGGTCAGAGTTGTCTGACCGTCCTATGGATAACACTCCTGTCATAATGACTCGTTCTGACGGTCTACCCTTGTAATTCTTTTTGTTCAGCTTCATGTCCACATTGTCTTTGATGGTAACCGTGTTTTCCAAGCACAGATGAAGCTCTGGGGGGTAAGTGAAGACAAAGAGGGGAGGAAGATAGGGTGAAGGAAGGGCCAGACTGGAATAAATAGAGTATCTTGAGGGAAACACTTTTAATGGGAACTTAATTTGGTTTCATATTCCCTCCCCCCTTTCTTCTTCTCTTCCCCTCTCTTTCATCTTTGTCCCTCTCCCGTTTCTTTCCTCCCTTTCCCCTTTTTATTTTTCTCTCTTCATCACTCCACCCAAACCTGAATCCCTTCGATTCCCTTGTTCCTTCTTTCCCTTGTGTTCTTCTGTCTTTCCCTCTTCCTCAGGTCATAAATGTGGAGGAGAGCTCTGTCTCTTTGATGCCATCTCGGGTGGAAATCTCCCTTGTCAAGGCTGACCCAGGATCTTGGGCCCAGCTGGAGCACCCCAGTGCACTAGCTGAGAAGGCTAGGGCAGGGGTTGTGGTAGAGATGGATGAGGAAGAATCTGAGGATTCAGATGATCTGAGCTGGACAGAGGAGGAAGAAGAGGAGGAAGCAATGGGGGAATAGTGACACCACAAAGTTTAGTGTATAGCTAGGACTCCAGTGACTATCCTAGACTCTGATTGACCATGTGGTATCATAGAGCAGTAGGACACTAAAGAAGGGGCGAACAAGACTGAACCATACTGTTTTATCCCATAAATAAATCTTGTATTCTACAGTTTCACATAGTGTCATTCTCTCACTCCACTATGTAAAAGATATTAATTCCCCCAACTTCCTTGTGTGCTTGACACACATGTGAAAACAAGCACACATACATGTCTTCTTTACAATCATGAGGTATTTACTCTGTGCCCAGTATGTGTTTGGTGCGTTAGAGATACCTGAGAAATAGAAGATTTACTCATTCCTCTTGAGAAAATTGTATGCTGGCTGACAAATCAAGGCTAATCTACATGAAATAAGAATAATGCTTATTATTAGATAATAATAGTTCTAAATAACAGTGCTAATTTTTTTACAGTGCTAAATTGTGTAGTATAAATTTTTATTTTTCTTTCTCTCTCTCTCTCTCTCTCTCTTTTGTTTTTTTTTTTTGTTTTTTTTTTTTGGTACTGGGGATCAAACTCATGTCCTCGCACTTGTCAGACAGGCACTTATGCCAGTGATCTAAATCCCCCAGCTCTTTTTATCTTTTTCAGTTATTTTCTGGAGAGTGTTTAAGAGCTATAGAAATCAAAAGAATGGAGGCATTACATGGGTTGAAATAAAAACAGAAGGCTCCATGGAAATAGCATTTTTAAAATTTTGTTTTGTTTGTGGTACTGGGGAATGAAACCAGGGTCTTTGCACTGAGCTACATCCCCAACTTGTTTTTTTTTAACCTTTAATGGAATTTGTTTATTTATTTAGTTAGTTTTTTTTATTTTTAAAGAGGGTAAAATAAAACATAAAAAAACAGATAAGATAACAATATACAAGACACAGATTTCAAAGTAAGACACTGGAGATCTTCACTATCATATTGTCTCTTGTTTTCTTTCAAATAGTTGTCCATATCTTCACATACAATGAATTCATACAAAACAAGATAATATAGAACTGATCAGAACAGGATGATGAAAGCATTTTAGGTCTTTAACACCAGACAGTAAGGAAGTCAACAATGGCTGCCATAATGTCTCTCATTCTCTTCAAAATAGCTGTCCATACCTTCATGTATGTTGAAATTAAACAAAACAAAACAGACTAAAATCACTCTGAACAATGAATAATATATTGCTGAACTTCACATCATGGTGCTACGGAATCAGCATTGGGTACCTTAGTGACTCTTGAGACAGGATCCCCTTATGTAGTCTAGGCTGGTCTTGAATTCACTATATAGCCCAGGCCGACCTCAAATTTATGGTGATCATCCTGCCTCAGCCTGTAAAGTGCTGGGATTACAGGTGTGTACCATCCATCAAGCCTGGCTTTGTTGATTTAGTCCTGAGTATATTTTTTCCACAATTTTTTTATTAGTTCATATTGGTTGAATAGATTAATGGGTGTCATTTTGGCAGATTTTTAAATGTATATAATTTTACCCATTATCCCCTTCTACCATTCTCCCTACTTTCAAATTCTTAGGGGATTTAAATGCATATTATATATTTTTTATCAGTACATGTTTGCAATGCATAGTGTTTACGTTCAGCTTGGAAGTTTTATACATATACATATACATATACATATACATATACATATACATATACATAGGCATCCTGATCATTTTTACTTCCCCTGATCCCCTGTCCCTCTTTCCCCAGGTCCTTTTCATATCTCTACAGAGTCTACCTCACTATTTCTCAACTTGGCTCTTTAAATTTTTTCTATTTTTGAGCTGGGCATGGTGGCACATGCCTGTAATCTCAGCACTCAAGAGGCTAAGACAGGGAGATCACTGAGAGTTTGAGGCCAGTCTAAACTACACAATGAGACCCTGTCTCAAAGAAATAAAACAAAACAAAAACTTGTTTAAATTTTTAGTCTGTGAGACTATGGGATATTTAACCTCATTTATTTCATTTAGCATTATGGTCTTGAGATCCATCTTTTTTTTGTCTTTTTGAGACAGGATCTCACTATGCAGTTCAGGCTGGTCTTGAGCTCCCTTTGTAGCCCAGGTTGGTCTCAAACTTGCAAGGGTCCTATTACCTCAGCCATCCAAGTACTGGGATTATAGGCATGCGCTACCATGCCCGGCTAGAGGGCCATCTATTTTTGACATATTCATCCCTTCTGTTACCTATCCTTATATTTCCTGCCTCTCTACTTATTCCCTTCCTCTTGTCTAATAATAGTCTCCTTTCTACTTTAAAATTTTTTTTTCTATCTACTTTTTTATCCTCTTTTTAGGTTCCATATATTAGAACATGAGATATTTGTCTTTCTGAGTCTGTTTTATTTTGTTCAACATGATCTGCAGATCCATCCCTTTTTTCCCCCAAATAACAAATTCTTGAGTTTTTAATGACTGAATAATACTCTATTGTGTATAATATACAATACACATTTCTTGTCCATTCATCTGTTGATGGGCACCTAGGCTGGTTCCATATCTTGAATATATATTAGGCTGCAATAAATGTGTGTATACGTTATCCCTATAGTCTGCTGACTTTAATTCATTTATTATCAAAAAGTGGTATAGCTAGCTATATCAAATAATAGCTTTGTTTTTCATTTTTGGAGGGCTTGAGAGTGGTGGTGTATACCTGTAATCCCAGCACTCTGGAGGCTTAGGCAGAAGGATTTTCATAGTGGCTATTGCTAATTTACATTCCCATCAGCAGTATAAAAGGGTTTCTTTTTCCCCAAATTCTCACCTGCAATTTTTTTCTTTTCTTTTGATTTTTTTTGACAATAGCCATTCTGACTGGGATGAAATGGAATCAGTGTGTGTGTGTGTGTGTATGTGTGTGTTGGTCTTTGAGACAGGGTCTCTCTATGCAGATCAGGCTGCCCTTGAGCTCACTTTGTAGCCCAGGCTAGTCTCAAACTTGCAACAGTACTACTGCCTCAACCTCTCGAGTGCTGGGATTACAGGCATGTGCCACCATGCTCAGCTTCTCAGTGTGGTTTTGTTTTGCATTTCCTATTTTACAGCTTGACACAGGGTATCACAAAGTCAGTAAATTGCCCAACCAGAAATTGAACTTGAGATTCTCCTGCCTCAGCCTCCCAGAGTAATGGTATCACAGATGTGCACCACCATACAGAGATTAAAAAGTATATTTTGGACCAGATATGGTGCATGCTTGTAATCCCAGTACTCAAGAGGCTGAGGCACAAAAATCATGGCAAGTTCTAGGCTAGCCTGGGCTACAAAGTGAGTTCAAGACCAGCCTGAACTGCATCATAAAACCCTGTCTCAGAAAGAAAAAGAGAAATATATTTTGAATGGAAATGTGAATAAAAGACATTTATTTGTATAGGTATATGGAGTAGTTGGGAGAATCAGATTGGAACAGAAGGTATTTCATTTTACTTTTTTAGTTTTTATGGTGCCAGGATTAACCCAAGGCCCTCCCCCTGAGCTACATCCTCAGTTCCTTTGGGATTACGCTGTGCACCATTAAGCCCTCCTTTTTTTGGAGACAGAATCTATGTAGTCCAGGCTAGCCTTGAACTCACTTCAGTCCTTCTGCCTAAGCCTCCCAAGTGCTGGGATTACAGGTATGTACCACCACTCTCAAATCAGATTAGGATTACAGGCATGTGCTTACATTGTCCAGCTCTCTCTCTCTCTCTCTCTCTCTCTCTCTCTCTCTCTCTCTCTCTCTCTCTCTCTCTCTGTTTGTGTGTTTGAGATGAGGTTTCCCAGTGCTGAATGCTGAGATCATAGGCGTGCACCATCTCATTGGGTATAATGGAATTTTTTTTCAAGTATGTATGTGTGATGTTGGAAATCAATCAAGTCTTTGCAGAAGAATTCTGTCACTGAGTTTATTATGCCCGTGGCCCTAGAATATAGGTTTAATTTTAATTTTTTTCTTTTATAATTCAGGGCCTTTGCACTGAGTAACATTCCCAGCCCTTTTACATTTTAAGAACAGGATTTTGCTAAATTGCTAAATTGTCAGAGCTCAACTTGAAATTGCAGTTCTTCTGCCTTAGCCTTCCAGAGTGCTTATATGACAAGCATGCACTACCATGCCCAATTTAGATTCTTAATTAGAATAGTGATCTCTTTTTTGAATCTTCATTGAGTCATATTTACTCCCTTAACAAAGTAGCCAAAAATCTGATAGTTGCAAACTCCTAGGAGCATCAAACTAGGAAGGTCACCAAACCTCAAATTATCTCAGGTTGTTTTCATAGCATCTTTTCCTGTCATCTCAGAGTCAATGAATTAAGGTGTCATGGGAGAAGAGATATGAGGTGTAAGGGATGGACATGGGCAGCAAAAGTAAGACATTACAGTATAGCCTGGATAAGAATTTGGAGGTTGAGGCAGGAATAGGGGATGTGCTGGACATAGGGGTGCATGCCTATGAATCCCAGAAT